CGATGGTGGCAAACAAAATTCAAATTCTTACAGAATCCAGACTTTCTGGAGCCATGGAGGCTATGGAAAACCCCAAAACTATATTGCCCCAAGCTGACCTGTAAACCAGAAGTGTCCTCTGAAATGGTCATAAACAGGCGTGGTTGGCCTCCACTGTCCACGCAGGGCTGCCCTGAGCAGTATGCTGTTGGAGATGTGGCCACATGGGGTCAGAGCGACTAGAGCCACTCGAAAGGTCAGCTAGGAACCTCAGGGAGGGGCAGTGGGTTTCTGCTGGTGGGACGAACCCTTTGGAAAAGTACAGGTTCATACACGTAGTCACCATCCCTGACTTGTACACATGGGCGGTGTTGAGCCGGTGTAAGTTCTCAACAACAACACACATGAATTCTTCCCATTCAAAAGGCTTAGCAAGTCTCATCACAACCAACCAAGGTCCTTTTTAACTTTTTTCTTAACCTTAAATGTCTATTTATGCTAATCGGGCCAAAGTTCAAAGTCACACAGCTTTAAAGTAGAGGAGAACTCTGGGAGTCATTCAGCCTGCTCAGTGCACCACAGCGCCCGCGGCTGGTGCTTTCAGTGTCTTTCTCTGGGCAGGAGTTAGAATCAAGGAGGCCCGAGGGACCAGCACCGAGACCAGGGTCTTCTTTGTGAAAACACTTGTGTATCATCGGAGCCCTGGCGGAGTAGTGGTTTCACACTGGGCTGTGATCTGTAAGGTCAGCAATTCAAAACCCCCAGCTGTTCCTTGGGAGAAAGATGGGGCTTTAAAGAGCTACAGTCTTGGAAACCCACAGGGGCCGTTCTCCCTGTCCTGTCGGGGCTGCAGGCGGCGTCCTGGGCTCAGGAGCAGTAAGGTGAAGTGTATGGCACATGTGCACAGTCCATGGGTTGTAGCCGAAGTCCGACAGGTCTGTTTCAGAGGCTGTTTGCACATGAGCCGGATTTTCTGCTGCTCCGCCCATCCAGCCCCTCCCCATGAGTCTGTACCCCCTGTTTAGCAGGAAGACCTGAACTCTGATCAACCAGGCAAGATGTAGTGCTGGGGTGCATAGAATCCAAAAGTGCCCCCCGCCCCCATTTTCTATGGCCTTTCGCATAGGAATAACCTGGAAGAAATTCACAGGACAGTCTCTTGGGATGGGCAGTGGCTTACAGCAGCTATAGGGAGTTGTGAAATGGGAGACTTTGGAAAGCCTAGTGGTCGAGAACACAAGGTTCAAAAGCTATCGGCTCCCTACTAGCCGTGTGACCGTGGGCAAATTGCTAAATCTCTCTCTGCTTTTATTTCCTAACTGCCCAAAGAGATCATCAGTGTATTCCTGTCATAGGGGTGTTGTGGGGCATTGTCGTCATCGTATTCTGTGTTCGTGCCCAGAGACTCTTCTGTAAGCTTCTGTTCAAGGCGCCTTCACGGGCCTTAGCGTCACAGGAGGACAGGTAACATAGAAGAGGCTTTGTCCTGTCTGCCCTGCCCACCACCAGGAAACAACCAGAGAGAAAAGATGGAAGGGCTGAGTCCTCAGTCGTGTTGTGGGGTCTCGCTTTAGGTTCCGGGAGACTGATGTCAGATCCATCGAGTCACATCTTGCTGGCTGGGTAGGCACCTTCCCCTCCCCCACTCCGCAGAGCCATGTCTCCTTGCTGATGTCTCCTCCTCCCTCTCACACCTCCAGAAGAGCCCCCAGAGGACAAAAGCAGGAAGACGCGCTACCACGACGAGGCGGACCAGAGCGCCCTGCAGAGGATGACCCGGCTGCGTGTGGCCTGGTCCATGCAGGAGGACAGGCTGCTCATTTTCTGCCGCATCGCCAGCAACGTCCTCAACACCAAGGTACCCAGCCAGCCAACCCCTTCTCCCTGGGAGCCCACCCTCTCACGGGAGCCAACCAGGAAAAACAGTTCATTCCCAAAATGCATTTGACAAATCACATGTTTGTGCACAGTTTCTTCCAGCCTTCAGTGAGATACATACCATTTGGGGTCTTTTTTTCCCCTCGCTACAGGCAAAACAGCTCAGAGCTGTTCTGTCCCCCTACCACCACCCCGCTTTTTCACCAGGACCCCAACCCTTTTCTGCTCCCCCTTCCCACTGGCATCTGCCCGAACACCTTCTGTTTCTCTGCCAGTAACTGCTTATCGCCTTGGAAAGGCTCTGTGGCCCCGACAGGTGGAAACAAGTGCCCTCTTCTCCCCCGGCCCCTGGACTGCCCCCTCCTCCCACTGCTGCTGTGCTTCTGGAAACCCTTGGCCCAGCAGAGCGGCTGCTCCTCAGGGTGCAGAGACTTGGGGCGCTGGTCTTCACAGTGCGGGCCGGCCCCTGACTCAGTGGCTGCTCACAGTGATCACTCATGCCGCTTGTGTTGACTCAAAGTGAACAAGGGCAGTGGCCTCCGCTGCACTGTCCATGACATGCACACACAGAGACACACACACACATACACACACCCCTCACTGTCGCATCCCTGAGTCTCAAGCAAGCGGAGAAGACCTGTCCAGCTCTCACTCTCTGGCCAGCAACCACCTCTGGTGTCACAGCCTCCAAGAGGGTTCTGCAGCCCGAGACAGAGTTTGTGTGTGTCCCCTGTCCCCCTCCCCCTTGTGGGGTAGACAAGGACCCCCACCCAGGAAACTGAGCTCTGGCACTTTCCACTCCGGGGTCCCCTCTGGATATCTGCCAGGGAGAGGGGAACCACGAGGAGCCCAGTCGAGCGTCCTCTGGGCCGCAGACGCATTCGATTTCTGTTTTCTCGTTCTCTTTCTCCAGCTTCTCTCATCTGCCAGTTGTCCCCTGGTTCCAAAGCGCCACTGTGGGAACCACCCGAGCTGCTCCGAGGGAGGAAAGGGGGCTTCAGCCACGGTGTTCCTCACCGGCAGGGAGTCTTGTACGCGTGGCCCATCGTGTGAGCCCAGGACACTGACTGGCTGCTTCTTGCCTCTGTGCTTGTTGCAGGTGAAGGGCCCGTTTGTCCCCTGGCAGGTCGTGCGGGACATTCTCCATGCCTCCCTGGAAGAGTCTTTGGACAAGACATCTCACTCGGTTGGACGAAGAGCTCGTTACTTAGTGAAAAATCCACAAGCCTATCTGAACTACAAGTAAGCCCTGTTTGAAAGGTCACAGGTCCAGGGCAAGCCTCTGTCTCTCGGTCATTCTGGGCTCAGAGCCCTTCATCTCATCTGCTTAAGATGCTTGTGTAAGATCCAGATAGAGCGCGGGTTTCCCGGTAGACTTTTGGATAGCAGGGGAGTGTATTGATAAGATTGTCTTTGCTCTTGAGTCCCAGGTGTGATTCTAGGCCCTGTGAGGTGCACGTGGGATGGGGACTTGAGAAAATACTCAGGGAGTAGTTGCGGCGGCCCCTTTTCACAGAAGACCAGGTGGAGGCCGGATGGGGTCAATGTCACACAGCTGCGGTGGGAACGACAGGGGCTCTTTTCCCTTATATCCAGAACAGCGCTTACTATCTTGATGTCTGTATTGGTGGCCGGTCTCAGCCCACCGGGTTATTGGACAGAAGGCCCTTGGCCATGTTCACAGCCAAGCTGTGTGCGTCGGGCACCTCCTGGTGATGGCAGCTGCCTGGGAGCCCAAAGCATTCTCTTGTGCCTGGTCTGCTGCCTCCTAGGTTCTCCACTTGGTTAGGCCGGGCTCTCCCAAACCAGTGCTGCCTATGTGTAGTGGTTCACAGAGTTGTGGGAGAACCTAGGTCCAGTTCAAGTCTGTGGGTCAGCTGTTCAGCTGGAGGGTTTTCTTGGCGCACACAGCTGCCAAGGTTCAGGAAGCAGGAAGACCATCCTGGTGGATCCAGAGGCTGGTGAACCCAAGCCTCTGGCCAGATGGCAGGCTCTGGTGGCTCTCAGGGTCGGCGGGCAATATGGTGGGTCTTACGAACTGGAGGTCACTGAGCCAGAGGCAGGATTCAGACCAGCAATACGTGAAGAAGTTCCCAGTGTCTACTTATATGTACAAGGCAGGAGGAAACGTCATCAAATCTGTGACCTGAGGAAGGAGTGGTACCCCCTGCTCTCTCCACAGCTGCTCGGCTGCTCGAAGCAGTTCCCTGGGGTTACTCGCATTTCGTTAGGTCACATCGTGGGGGAGACCTGAGCCACCGAATTACTGAGAACCCTGGCCCAGCCAAGCCAATGCAAAACCTACCTACCACACCCACCATTGCCTCACAGGGCTATAAAGCTATTGCTAGCCCACCAGGCTCCTGCACTTCCCTCCACAGGCATGGACTTGTGTGGGGACACAACGCTCTAACAAGTGCATGGAAGCACCCACGCCATGTAGCCATGCCGGCAGGAGAGGGCAGGATTCGGCTGGCCCCGAATCCGTTGTTTTAAAAAGCTGTCGTTATCTGATGCATCTGAAAAAGCATCCTTCACGGTTAGCCAAGACCAGAAGCATCAGAACAGGAGCCTTCCAGTGGCTGTTCTATTGGCATCATTAATGCCCCAGACCCCCTTTCTCTCTCCTCTGTGTGCAGGGTTTGCCTCGCCGAGGTGTACCAGGATAAGGCACTTGTTGGGGAGTTTATGAGCCGAAAATGTAACTATGATGACCCGCAGGTAGGTCGGCCCCTTGGGGCTGATGAGGGGCTGTTCTGGAGGTCGGTCTTCCAGGGGCTGGGCCAGAGGCCTCTGCCAGCCTCACAAGCCCGACGTGTTCCCTGCTCATGTGGGAAATCTGCGTGTCAGGTCTTTGCCTCTGGACCACATGGACATGGCTTTGGGCACCCGTGTTGAGGGATGGGTAGAGGTTGATGTGTCACTTTGAAGGCCCTGCTGAGCCTCAGGGCCTAGTTGTTAGGAAAACAGGCGAGCTCTTCAGAATCGACAGGTGCCCGGCCTTCATGAAAAGCCTGTGGTAGAGAAATGTACTCAGTGCCACTCAAAGCTCGTGGGCTGAGGGCCACGGGGCCTGCGTGTCTCTCAAAGAAGGAGGAAGCTCTTTCCAGACCCAGTCTCCCTCCCCTGCGCTGGGTACCTGCTGCCTTCACGTCAGTCCGGCAGCAGGCAAGGCCTCAGCGAGAGGTCCAGCCCCGCCCCACGGGGAGCAGGTCAGGCAGGGAAGCAGGTGGGCTCTACAGGGCAGAAAGGGAGCACAACCCGGCCAAGGAGGCTGGGAGGGAGTATCAGGAATAGTTTGAGTGCATGTCACTGACCGACTGACGGGCCTCAAGGTAGGCTGCCCCTGGGGACCCAGGTACTTCACTCCTTCACACCAGTCACCTCAAGGCTGCAGGGCGACAGGTGCACACAACAGAGCCCCAGGGTGGGGCAGTTCTTCCCAGAAGCACCTGGCTTACCTGGACACACGACTGGGAACCATTGCTAGCACAGGGGAATAAAGCGGCCATGATCAGCCTGGACCTGGCCTGGAGCCCCCCAGCCCAAATCGGGGCCAGGAACACAATGTAGACAGCCAGTGCTATCGCTGGAGGGCTTTGAAAAGGAGCTGACCTTGAACTGAAGCCCCTGCAGAAACAGCAGCCCGGCAGAGGTCCTAGGGACTCGCTCAGGACCTGCCACCCCGAGGGAAAACAGAGCCACAGGGGAGGTGCTGAGATGTGGCATAGCCAGGCCATCTGGGAGCCCCCACGGCCAAGGAGCTACCCACTTTGCTTATTGGAAAGCTCGTTTTGGCCGCCCAGCAAGGTGAGGCCAGTGAAGCGCCTGGCCGTGCTCTGGGTTCAGGGCCAGGGTGGCCTGGGCTGCGATGACCGCAGTGCAGGGTGGAGGAGGGGGCCAGTGTGAGAGCCACCAGCTGAGTGGGGTGGAGGACAGGAAGGGGAGCGGAGTAAGTGGTGCTTGCTGAGGTGGGAGCAGGAGGAGAGAGATCTGGGGACCCGCTGTGAAGGCCATCCCCCAGCAGTGGGGGCACCAAGTGCTCCAAGTCCTGAGATTGGGCGAGCATCTGTTGGTTAGTCCACTCCTGGGCGCTGGGCAGCCCTCAGGAAACAGGAATGACAGGGAGGTGGCCCTGCGAGGGCTGCCACACGCAGCGGCCACACCGGTCTGTCAAAGACTGCCCTTGGGGGTGTAGGAGCCACAGAGGGCAAGGGCTTAACATGCCATCTTCTCACATCCCCAGGTTTGTGCCAGTGAGTTTAAAGAATTTGTGGAGAAGCTTAAAGAGAAGTTCAGTTCATCCCTAAAGAATCCGAACCTTGAGATCCCTGACAGCCTACAGGAGCTGTTTGCCAGGTACCGTTCTTTCGTCTGAGACATTTCCACGGGATTCCCACCAGGCAAGAGCAGAAACGCTGGCAGCCAGATGTCCCTCCCTGGTGCAGCAGTGCCGGGAGGCCTGGCACCTCACCTCACAGCCCCGACATCTCCCGAGTCCCTGCCACCAGCCAGCTGTCCACGAGGCCCTAAAGGTGGAGGAAGTCACATGCCCAGGACCCTGCCAGGCACCTCAAGCAGTCTCTCCCTGAGCCCTGGGTGCTTAATCCAGGCTCCCTCATCTGCTTTGTGCTGGTGCTTAATCTACCAAGATGTGCCCCGCCCATTTTCAGAGTGGACACCTTTGGCTTCTTCCTGCCACCCCCAACTTCCCACCGTGATCCTTTATTGATTGGCAGGAAGTGGAAACTGCCCGTTAGGGTCTCACTGGACAAGTTGTTCAGTGATAGGGTTGCATTTTTCACAACACGTGAACATTTTCTCCCTCCCTTTTTTAACCAGGTAAAACTTTAAAAAAAAAAAATCTTTTGTGGGTCGAAGGTTTACAGAGCAGATCTGTTTTCCATTCAACAACTCAACTCGTAACATGTTTTGTTTCATGCTATTGATTCTAAGCCCCACAGCACGACATCACTTCGTCCCTGTGTTCTCTTCCCTGCACCATCTGAATTGTGCCGTTGAGTGAATGCTGCCTGCCTGTTTTGTCTCGAATGAGTGATTATTCCAAGGTGTGTGTGGTTTGGCTGAAAATCAACCATGGGTGTGAGTTCAGGTCCAGTCCTAAAGGGTGATGATTAAGGGCCACCGTTTCAAGGGCTGTGCCAATTTCTGGTCTTTTATGATTTTGAGTTTTGTGCCATGTTTTTTTCCCCCACTCTTTCCAGGGCCTCCGTTATGACATGGTCCCTCTCAGAGAAGTCAGCAGGGGTAGCCGGTCACCATCCATTTCTTCCGGTCTCAGTGCCAGTGACACTGATGGCACTCGGTCTTTAATCAAAGTGTTCGGTCTTTTCATCGTTGCTGTTCATAGATGTTGACCTCGTTCTGATGAGGTCTCATTCGGATGTTTCTTGAAGTAGGATGCCAATCTCACAGCCTTTACTACGGCTGTTTCACTAAAGGTGGTCTCTCTCAGGATAGGCTCGGTCCGCAGTCTAAAGAGTGTCTCAGGGAGTGCTATCTCCTCTACTCTTCTAATTTGTCTGGCCTTTTTTTAAAAATAAGAATTTTGCCATCTCATCCATCAGAATGGTCCGTGCTGGTAGCTGGGCACCACCGAGCTAATTTTGCTGGTCTTGGAGCTTCTGGCACGCACGCAGACTTGTGTCTCCCCTTAGCTTTTGGTGACCCGCTTACTGTTTTGCTCCTGGCAAGTAGAGACCCAGAGTTGTAGGTGCAGGCAGTGCCTTCTCCCAACCTTGTAAGGCCCCAGACACTGCCCCTTCATTAGGTGGCGGGCCGTGAGTTTGTGAACTCTGTTAAGCCAGTCCACTGAGTTGTCCCACGAGACTGTGCGGCTTCAAGTAGCTGTTTACCTGGCTGTAATTTATCGTCACCTTTATTTCCAGTAAAGCTAGATGGAACATTTTTTAGCCGTGAAACCAGACAGCTGAAATAAAATTTTGTTAAGGGAGGCCTCGTGAATCATTTACAGGAAAGAAAAGGTTGCAGTTTAACATAAATCCGATCTGGAGTTTTCTGGCAGGCAAAGTAAAAGTGCAAACGGCTCCATATTTTTTCTTATTGGGCTAAAAATAGTTCACAGTTTTTCTGAAAAGGCTCTTCTTCCTTGGCACTAGGCTCTAGGAGGAATTTGCTGTTACAGAGATACCAATTCATCTTTGACTTTTGGTTTTGCAGAAACCAAAGAAAAGACTTACAAATGGCTGTTTTAAAAAAAATCAATTCTATGATCTATTCATATTTATTTCCATGGTATAAACACAGTACAACAATACTGCACAAAGCTCAGAAACCAGACAGGGAAGCAGTCGGTGACTCCAGTGCCCGGAGAACGGCCGCTCTTCATTTTCCTGTGGGCTTCTTTCTTTGTTTCTGTCTGACTTCTTTCTTAGCGTAATCGTACTGAGGCCACGGTTTTCTACCCCATTAGCATCCTGCCTTCTGCCCCAGAAAGGGTCCCAGCAGCAAATGACATTTCTCACATTAACCCTCATTTTTATAAAAATACTTTCCTTATTTGGTAGGCAAGAATGTGGTCTTTTCTCGTTTCAATTGGCATATACGATATTTGGGCTTTGCCTGGGTTTTCCCTGGTATGTTAGCCACTAAGCAGCCATCCCAGCAGCCGATGCCCAGCTAGGATCTGCCCTGTCGCGCTGACATGACTTCCCTCGCATGTCCCATGCAGGTACCGAGTTTTGGCCATTGGAGATGAAAAAGATCAAGCCAATAAAGAGGATGAACTGAACAGGCAAGTGCTGATGGACGGCAACTCTTTTCCACGCCCACCCGCCCGCCCGCCTGCTCCTGGGTTTGCCATGCTGCGTGGCCGGGGGTCAGATCTGGCCTGCCCACCTGTCTTTGCACAGAAGCCTCGTCAACACTGTTCCTGTCTGGCCCTGTAGCCCAGCCTACCCCTGGCCCAGGCTGAAGATGAGCTGGGTGGAAAAGTAGGAACTCTTACCCCATGAGCTGTCAGGGCAAATCTCCTGTTTAAAAACTCAGTCTTTTTTTTTTCTTCTTCTGCCCTTTTAAGTTGAAAACTCCATGGTAATTCCATTTGGTTGTGGCTCACGTGTTTCAGTAACAAAGCCTATTCTCATGGGAGAGGAGCATGTTTAAGCCGGGAGGAGGAGACATAGATGCCCGGCTGTGTCTGATGCTTGTCATGTAAACGCGCCTCTGGGTGATGTCCCTTTTTACCCACTGCCTTAAAAGTCTTTCCCTGAAGAAGGACCCAGTTAGTAAGATCCTAAGAGAGCAGTGTTTATTTCATTTCCCTCCTTTTTGGAGAGAGTGGCTTTCATGCCGGGCCCTCTTTTTCTAATGAGAATTGGATCCGAGATGAGCCGTGGCCTTGACTGTGGCCATGGCTCTCAAGCTGCTTGGTGGGCCCGCCCCTGTCTCTTCCAGTGTGGACGATATCCACGTGCTGGTGCTCCAGAACCTCATCCAGAGCACGCTGGCCCTTTCCGACAGTCAGATGAAGTCCTGCCAGTCGTTCCAGGTGGGTGAGGGGGCACCTAGCATCGGCATCTCTGCTTGTAGCGTCCGTGGGCATGGGCCCTGCCCGGGGCTGGGTGAGGCTGCATCTCACAAACTTCCCAGCGGTGGGTCCTTGGGAGCCGATTATTTTGTGTCCTTCCACCTTTCACAGCTTGGCTAGGGTCCAGTGGCCTCCCAAGTGCCTCCCTTGCTGAGGTTTCGAGTCTGCTATGGAGGATGGGAGCCCGGGTAGCGAGTAGTTTCCACATGAGGCTGCGATCCACAAGGTCGGCAGTTTGAAACCACCAGCCGCTCCTCAGGAGAAAGAGGTGGCTTTCTACTCCCGTAAAGAGTCACAGTCTCAGAAACTCACCAGGGCTGTTCTGCCCTGTGCCATAGGGTCGCTGAGTCGGCATCGGCTCGATGGCGGTGAGGTTTTTTGCCTGTATTAAGGACAGAGCACTAGGTGGAAGAGGAGATGAGGTGTGTCGAAGGAACCAGGCTGGCACTGAACGGGATGAGCCAGGAGTGTTGAGAGATGCTGAGTAGCGGAGATCACCGTGTGGAAAAGCAGTGGGCTGCCTGCCTCCCGAAGCCTGGGGAGGTTCCTGGCACTCAGCCGGGTTCTGGCTAAATGCAGATGAAAGCAAGAAAGCAAATCTTACTTAATCCCTGATTGATTGGGGGGAGGGGGGTCTCTTCTATAAATATGTACATTTGAGGTTCAGAGAAGGTCAAAGACACACCAAGGTCGACCGCTCGCTCGCTTGCTGTACCGAGGTCGGCTGGGGTCCAGTTCATGAGCAGAGATGCTGCCCCGGAGGCGGTCTGCCGGCCCTCATCAGCTTGAGGCTGTGTCCGGAGTAGAACCCGCTCAGACGCCCTTTGTGGTGACGGAGCCCCAGCCGTCTGCTTGACCAAAGCAAACCAGCGCCCATTGTGTCGGTGCAGCGCCTAGTGGCCCTTCAGGAATGGGCAGTTCTACATGAAGGAGAAAGGCTCATCTTTCTCCTGTGGAGCGGCTGGTCGTTTCCAACTGCTGACCTGGTGGTTAGCAGCCCAACGACTAAGCACTACGCCTCCCACCAGGGCTGGAAAATGCAGGGGGGCTCCTCTAGTCCCTCCGGTGGATGGAGACGGGTGACAGGAGAGCTTGTTGAGCATATGGACCCACCCCCACCCCCAAGCCTCACCCTGGCCCCAGCAAGTCCAGGAGGAATTGGACCCTTTCTTGGGCCATGGCGAGGGCGGGGATGCCTGGCGAAGCCCAATGTCCTGAAGGACCCTCGGGTTTGCCTGCAGAGCTTGAGAGCAGCCCCCTGCCCTCTCCCCGCGGCGCCCAGGCTGAGTGCTTTTCATTCACCACCACAGTCAGATCTTTTGAGTGGACGCTCCGAGGGGGGTGGGGCAGGCGGGCAGGTTTGTGAGACCTGGGAGAGTGAATGGTGAGGCCGTGCTGGCGGGTGGGCAGGCTGGGCCAGTGGAGGAGGCCCCTCTATGCGGGGACCCCATCCTCCTTTGGGGCAGCAGCAAGAGAGGCCAAGCTGCGCTCTCCCGGGACCTGCCCCCTCTGGTCAGAGGGAGGGGCCGGGAGTGAACAAGTGTGGACCCATGTCCAGGGTCGATGCTTGGGGTGGGGGGTGGGGGGCAGTATAGGGGGGAAGTGTCCCAGGGCCGCGCTGGAGCCGAGACTCCTGTGGAGAAGGTGCCCTGCAGGCTGAGACCTGGGAGATGCTTTCCCAGTGCAGAGTCCCCTCGCCGGAATGACGGCATTGTCCAGCAAGTGTGAGGGCCACGAGGCCCAGGATGGAGGCCAACATAGTCAGGGAGAAGCCACTGGGGTTTCTGAAGTGGGAGATGCTGTGTGGTGTCCGGACGGGTAGCAAGGGGCTTTGGTTGCTGTGGAGAAGGGAGGGGGCGGGGCCAAAGCAGGAAGAGCCGTGTGCTGGAGGCCTCCCTCGGTGTTGGTGCAACAGCAGCAGCAGCAGCGTGGGCACAGGCAGGGGTGGGGCCATCCAGACATGCCGAGGGGCCCCATGAGGGGCTTCCTCAAGAGCCGAGAGCCTCCTCTCTCTGGGTGGTCTCTGAGGGGTGGTGGGAAGGAAGGCTCGCCGGGGCCCAGTGTCAGTCGGCCCGCTGTGTTGCAGACTTTCCGCATATACCGCGAGTATAAGGACCAGATCCTCGTCAAGGCCTTCATGGAGTGCCAGAAAAGGAGCCTGGTCAACCGACGCCGCGTCAACCACACCCTGGGCCCAAAGAAGAACCGGGCGCTGCCCTTCGTGCCCATGTCCTACCAGCTGTCGCAGACCTACTACAGGTGAGGGGCTGCACACGGTCAGCCTGGTCTCTGCGCTGAGCGCTCGGCCTCCCAGACCACCAGCCATCTGCCCTCTGCGGTGGAGCAGGAGGGCAGTGTTTCGGGTCAGGGCATTTATCACATGCTGGACCATTCTTTTCTCTCTTCTGTCAAAGGGCTGGCATCGTTTCTGATTTCATAGCTGCTCCTGTTGACGTGTGCCGCCTCGGTGGGGACAGCCGGACGGCATCCCCAAACCTTGTGGCTCCTGGCCGGAAGGCTCACGCACTTCCACTGGCACCCTCAGTTATTTCCGGCTATTGGCTCCACAGGGCGCTGCCTGGGGCTGGGCGGAGGTGCTGCGGGCACTCCCTGGGCCACCTTCCCAGGTCGGCTGGCCCCTGGACCTCCCTGAGCAGGTCCTTGAGCGGGGTGCAGAGGGACTCTTCCCGCCCCGTCCTGCTCTCCGCCTGTGGAGGCTGCACCCGGACTCTCTCTCAGCGCAATGAGGTCCTGGTGGGTTTGTCGCTCTGATCCCATCGCTGCCTCAGCCACTTCTCCCTTTCCTAAATTCCCACTTCCTGCGAAACAGATTGGTATAGGAAGAGCCATGACCTTGAAAGCCGCATGAGCCCAGGCCCAAGAAGGCTGTTTGACCTTGAGCAACTTACTTCCCTGAGTGCCTGTCCTTCTCTGGCCTCCAGGTCCCATTCTTGCTGCCTCAGGTCATGGGAAGTCACCCTCTTCAGGCCAGGCAGGGCTTCCTCCCCACAGAGGCCACCGACATGCAGCGAGGCCGCCGTGTAGGTTCAGGCCGTGGTTTGGTTAAAGATGTAGGACCAAAGCGCGCCGATCATCCCCGGGCTCTCAGGAGCCGGACAGCCCAGTGGGGCGGAGAGTGTGTCTGGCATCGTCTATCCACAGTGGGGTGGCGGCCAGTTGCCCCTCCTGCTCAGCCAGGCCCTCCCTGCCCTTGTGTGTGCAGGGTTTTCACCTGGCGCTTCCCGAGCACCGTGTGTACAGAATCGTTCCAGTTCTTCAGCAGAATCCTGGCTGCGGGCAAGTCGGACCAGCCCGATCATTTTACCTTCAAAGACCAGGACAGCGGCCCGGCCAGTGACATGGTGGCGTTTTCTTTGGATGGCCCCGGGGGCCACTGTGTGGCGGCCCTGACCCTCTTCTCCCTGGGCCTGGTGTCGGCGGACGTCAGGATCCCAGAGCAGATCGTGGTGGTGGACAGCTCCATGGTGGAAAATGACGTCATTAAGAGGTAACAGCCCGCGGTCCCTGCCCGGGCACGGTGCTGGGGCCCCCATTGTAGGTGGGGTGCTGCACAGAGCCTCGGGTGATCGTTTCCTCTCCACACCATGGTGGTGGTGGGGTGGGCGGCAGTGGCAGCGGTGCGCCATGTTCAGCCATCTGGTATCTACTTTGCTGCTTGCCGTGCTGTCCTGCTTTCTGCCTGGCCCAGCCGGGGTGTGGACAGACAAGCAGTGCCTAGGCAGTGCCTTCAGGGAGCCCCCCGGGCCGGGCTCACAGACCTGCACCCTGGGAGTCATGGTCTGCAGGTGGGCGTGGTGGTGTCTGACGTTCTGTGGGAGGTGGTGGGCAGAGGAGAAGGACACGGTCCAGTGTGAGCAGGGAAGGCGTCAGGCTGGGTTCTCTCTGGGAGCAGACCCAGGAGCACACGTGTCGAGATCTGTAAGAAGAAGGCAGTGGCTGATGCCCTGTGGAGTCTGGCCAGTCCCGGGTCTGTGGGACCAGCACAAAGGAGGGGCTGCTGGATTGCCAGGGGATGAGTTTTGCCAGAACGTCCATGTGTCTTAGGGGTAACCGTGCCCCCAAGACACCGTGCTCCCCTGACGCCAGATCATCAAATGAACAGTCATGATCAGAACCACTCCCCCATCCCCGACCCCAGCTAGCCAGCCACATTGACCATCACGCTCCACCCACTGACCACTGACAGCTGGACACAGCTCCTTAGCCCCATGTAATCCCCAAACGAAGACGACAGCTGTAAAGTCACACTGGTCCCCAGCGTGGTACAGCCAACATGTGTATCACCGCATCTCCTACTATACCGAGCAGTGGCGGGCAGCCAGAGGAAGGAGGAAAACGAGATATGTGATACAGAGTCTGCTGTTTCCAGGTGTCCCAGAGCCAGGTCCAACCCGTGGGGCCTGCCCGTCCCCCGTTGGTCTGCCGTGTCTGAGCCCGTGGCTGTAGCCACGGTGGCAGTCCCTCTCCGTGAGGCCCTCCACCACCACCCCTTTTTCCCTTTTTTGCTGCCCCTCCCCTGTACCAAGCTTTACGTCCTTCTCTTGACGGCATGTCCAACGGCAGGAGACAAACCTTGCTGTCCTTGCCTCTGAGGATCCGTCCAGAAGTACGCGCTCCAAGACAGGATTGGCCGTGGAAGTCACTGTTCAGAGTTCTTTCCGCCACATGCCTCTTCCCTATACCTTCCCATCACCACTTTTCCCGTCGTGCCCCTTCTAAGTCCAAATCACTGGCCTCAGCCTAAGTTTCAGTAAACAGTTCCATATCTGGTCACTTCCCCTACCACGCAACGTGGGCAGCCAGGTGCACAACTCAACCTGCTGCCCATTGGAAGGGTTTCCTTTCACCACTGCCCTTCAGGGGGCGTACCGAAGGGTGGCTCCCATGCAGTGGCTGTCTACCTTCAAGTGGTACATCATGCAGGCCCAGGTTTTCTCTGCCCCAGTCAACTGGTCGCAAAGAACTCCCCAGACTGGGAGAGGGGAGGTCCTGGGACAGGAGTGGAGCCCCTGCGCCTTGAGGCCACTTCCCCACGTAACTTAGCAGTGCCTTCAAGCCCTGCTTGAGCGGAGTCTTCGAGGGAGCATTTCCATCCCTGATGAAGCCCTGTTGTGTGCATCTTACTGTGTGACTCAGTTTGTGCTGAGCAGCTCAGCTTGCCAGGTGACTTGGTAACCCGTGGTTCAGCCCATAATTAACCAGCCAGAAGCTCCTCCTGAAAAGAAGAGTAGTCATCTGCAGAGGACGGAAGGGCTCTGCTCCCAAACCCTAAGGGTCTTCACTGTGATTCACTCCGCAGTGCCTCCCCCTTGGCCGCTGGCACGCCAAGCACCCCTGGGTCAGCTGGGCCGGAGGGCCCAAGTGGCAGGGCGACTTGTGTGCAGTCTGAGCCTGTGGCAGGGCAGAGCCTTCTCTTGTGCTGGGCCCAGAGCACTCAACAGAGCAGTTTTTCCCGGTGCTTGATAAGTAGGTGAGAGTAGCCTACACCTCAGTGAGGAGCGTGTTGCTTCCTTTTTAGTGGCTGGAGGGGCCACCAGATGTAACAGCTGATCCCTCGCCTTAGAAGCAGTATTTCCACGTGCCCCCACACCACTGGACGCCTAGAAATTCCACCAAGGTGCAAGTTACCTGAATGTTTATCTGGTTCATTTCCCACCCTGTATCCTGTAAGGATCTTACCAATAAGTCCAGTGTTCCTTCCTTTCCAGGTCCAGTTGCTGCGACTTAAGTCTTAGTCATGGGTCTAGAAGCACAGTGGGCACCCTTAGGATTTTGGGGCCAAGCCCTTCCATCCTCTGCAGATAACACTCACCATCACAGGGGTAAGACGAGAAGGCGGCTTGAGGGCAGAACAGCCGAGCTAAGACTTACGCTTCTCAGGACGGGGGCATAGGATGGGTTTTGCAGGCAAGCACACAGCTGTGAAGGGGGTCACTGAGGCGTGCGTGGGAAGGTGGAGAGGAGGTGACGCTGGGGCAGCAGTTTCTAGAATAGGAAAGCACAGCCCGACCCCCAGAGGGGTGTTCCTGGCTCTTTCTGGCATGGCCGGGTCAGCTGGCCGAGGTCCTCAGACGAGGGTGTGCTCCGTCAGTCAGCTCTCGCTCTTCCCTCTTCCGCTCCCAGCATGGGGAAGGACGGCACCTTGGAGGACGACGAGGACGAAGAGGAAGACCTGGATGAAGGCTCGGGGGGCAAGCGCCGGAGCATCGAGGTGAAAGCCCCCCAGGCCTCGCACACCAACTACCTGCTGATGAGGGGCTACTACGCCCCCGGCATCGTCAGCAGCCGCAACCTCAACCCCAACGACAACATCGTCGTGAACTCCTGCCAGGTGAAGTTCCAGCTCCGCTGCACCCCTGCGCCCACCTCCCTCGAGCCCGCTGGTGAGTACTGCCCCCGGAGCTCCTCGGTGGGATGGGATGCTGACCTCTGGGCTCTACATCTATGGACCAAACCAGGAAGAGCCAACCCAGGGAGCCCACGCCCTCCAACACCCTGTCCGTCCCCAGGGACTGTGCCCCCACCCATACAGCCTGCCCGTCACGTGGTCTTTGTTTTTAGTGAGAGTAATCGGTGGGAGCTAATGGGTCAAGTCCGAGGGGCCTGTAGGAACAGCCTCAGCAGGTCCCTCCCTCCCTCCCTTTTCCGACTGCCCCTACACACGGCTGCTCCAGAGACAAGGGCAGCCTTCGCACGGTTGCCCTGCCCTTCCTCTGCTTCCCCCCATGTACCCGGACGGCGGGCAAGCATCGAGCAATGAAAGGGGTTTTCAGCTCCTTCCTCGCTGACTCCCAAGCTTCATCCTTAATACAAAGGATGCTTCCCAGATCCCCGGTGAAATGGCAAACCTCTTATTTCCCGAGCCCTGCATTCCAGACGGTCTCTCCTCCCCCAATGGAGAGTCAGGCCCAGGCGGCCCCTTCTCTTCCCTCTGCCCCTGCCCATCCCCTTCCTGCCTGACCGGGAGCTTCACCCGTGGAGGACCAGGGTGCACGGTCACGTCACGGCGTCACCACAGGAAGGCGGTGTGTGCTTTGTCTCGAACCCAGAGGGGCAGCTCCATCCGAACTGCCGGTGGCTGTCTCAGCAGGACCCCGCCCTGGCTGTCTTCAGCCAAAGTGGGGGTTGACTGGAGGGTCCAGCTGCCTCCCTGATCCTAAGGAGAAGTGAGCCAGGAGTACAGAAGGGGGAGCCAGACAGCACAAGTCAGGCCTCCTTCCGGACTCTGGTTCCCCGTCCTCGGGCCCAGCTCCTGGAGCAGGAGAAACGTTCTGTCCGGGGTATAGCCAATCCAATCAACTGGTCAGGGGCTTGACCATGTTCG